TCAGAACACTTTTGTATTTCCAGAGAAAATAATCACTTGAATTTAATAATTTGAAGAAAATAAAATTCATCCCAAACTGGTCACATCATAATATAACTTAGTGCCTAATGTTAAAACACGACTGGTATAATCCTCACAGTCACAAGATAATACAGTTCTCTGTTTGACCACAGGTCACAGTTAGCATGTTCTAAAAATGACCATTACCTAATGGAAAATAACCTTCTAGAATGATGGAATGGACTTTATTTATTTAAAACACAATAGCCTATAAATTCACTTAAGAATCTTCAATACCTTGACCTTGATCAATATATCTACTCATTTGTTGACCTGAATATTAATTCTGTTAATGAGCTCATACACATAGAGAATAATTAAGCTATTATTAGTTGTTTGCATAAATGAAATAGAAACAAATTTTAACAAATGTCAATCAGGTAAAGCAGAAATCAACTCAGGTTTAGACAAGGTCAAGTCCAGCAAACAATTTTACATTACAATAAAATGCAATGAAATAAAAAAATAAAACTAACTAGGAAACATTTAAATTAAATATACATAGAACAATACATAGATTTTAAAAAAATCAGATTCAAACAAAAAAAGGATGGAAATCCAAAATCAGAAATAGGATAGAGAAATACAATAGGAGAAAGAGGAAAATGTGAAATAGAAAATCAAAATGCAAATTAAAAGATTGAAAAAAGAGAGGGAAATACAGAGGCAGCGAGAGATAAACGTGTTTTGTTTAAAATTTCCGAATAATTGCCGTATGTGACAAATTTGTTGAGAAAGAAGTCCAAATTGTATTAATCTGATAAGTTTCAGAAATCTTTTGACAAATTGAAGACCAAACTAAAATCTGTACCGGTTGTTCCAGGTCTAAAACGTCAGTTAATTATTTAAAACGTCTGTTGACGCATGTGATGTACAAATTGGTTCATTATTCATTCAAGAAGACTACAATGGTGTGGATAATGCAGCGTGCCATGTTTCTGAAAGGTAATCAAGCACCAGAGAAATTAGTCCACAGTCGAGAGGGAATGTTTAACTTTGATATTGGCCTTGCAATACTTTGATTAGCTTAGCTCCTCCGATTATTGAATTCAGTCTTCAAAACCCCGTAATTCTCATTAACAAAATGAAAACAAACTTGAGCGATTGTTGAGTTGCAGTTTAATGTTGCAGGAATACAAAATTGACATCAAGTATATCAAGGGAAAATATAATCTGATTGTAGATGCTTTTTACGTGTACAAAATTATTATAATGCGTTATTTGGCGTCATCAATAGACATCGTTCTGTGTAAGTTTTATTGCAATATATATTTGTTTGACTAATATGTAAACAAGCGTTCTTGTATAAACTTTTCTTTTTTTGTAGGGATGTGTTATGTATATTTAATTTGCATATATGTGTGGTTAACCTTTGTACGTAATTGAGAGTAGAGTAGTTATCACTTTTTCATGATTTTAGTCATGACTTTGTTTCATTCAATTTGAGTTCAAGACCTAACCTTATTTACAAACTTTAATGTTCTGTGAGAAAACGCGTGGGTCTAAAGGTGAACATTTCATCGTGTCTTTGGCCAATTGAAATTAGTATGTTAGGATGTGGTAAACAAAATTATTCATTACTATTTTAATATCATTTTGTGGAATCACATTAAGTTAAAATCTGAGAGAAAGTATTCATTGATGTTTTTTTTGCTAAAACATTGATTCTTATATTTGTACCTAAGTTGTTAACTACCTTTTGCACTTCGCACAACAGGGACTGAAGCAAACGCTTCCTAACTACCATCGTAGTTAAGTGGTTTGAAAGCTCGCGTGACAACCAACTGTGAAATACATGCCATTAATAAGTTTCTAAGAATTCGCCAGTTATTATGTACTTTTGAGAGAGTGATGTATGCAAGGTGGAGTTGTTTGCATTTTAAACATGCACAGTGTAGAGAATGATGGCATACCTCTATGCTGCTTTCATGTAATGCGGCTGACATTTCTTTCGCTATTGTACTTTTGAAATTTTAAATGTCTTAGCACACTGCTAACTAAAATGACTGCTCCCTTGTGCTCCAAAAATCAACTTGAATATGTATAAAGTACACTATCCTTGGTAGCTATTAAAATAGGGAAAATGAATGTTACCAAACTAGACAATACCAGCTTCTAAAAGTGCAATGAATAAATTACTAATACATAAAATGTAAAACAAAGTTGTCGGCTTCTTTATACAATTTACCTCTGAAGATCTGATGTAAAAATGATCAAGTGAAGCTAACATTTTTTGAAAGATGCACATCTGGAGTAAGGCCAAGATGTATACTCTATAACCCATATCAAACCAATCAATCATATACAAAAAAGGGAATTAAAAGTTCTTTGAACAATACCTCAGATATACAAAGTCGTTTGTAAATAGCCAGTATAATTGGTGAGGAAACCTGGGAAAAAATTTTTTTAAACAAAATTCTAACCCTATGTTAAATACGAAACTATAGAGCGCCACCTTGTTTGAAATCAAATTTGTGAACAAATAACCTTTTTCCTTTGCAAGCCTTTGTAAAAAAGAGACTGAAAATTTTCAACGAGTAATTATATTTTATTTAGAACAAGCAAACATGTAAGATTCTATTTTATTACATGATATACTCAACCAATTTGTTTTACCAATTTCATTTTTGTTATTGTTGTTTACGAAACCTGATAAAAGTGGTGGGAAAATTAGTTTATTTTGGAATAGAATCAAACTTATCGAGGAAACTTATATTCAGTCGGATCAACCTCTACCTCTTCCATCAAGTTTATAAAGAAACCTCGAATGTATTTCGTTGCAACTGAGATATATATTCTAAACTATTTTTGTTCACATATAACAAGATGACGGGGGAAGTAAACAAAGTCACAATCGGAACATTATCGGCCTTTATTCTCTATTACGTGCACTCCACCGGATACGAATAATCAAACTTCAAACTGATGTGTATTCCTGCAATGACCTTCAAGGTTTTCTCCAGATATGCCAGAAATTGCCGAGCAATGATGAGATCGAACCCTATAGATGTAGATTGTGTCAAGCGTTTGAGACGTTTGTTTTAATCGCTGAAGGCATATATTAAAGAAAAGCAATGTCTGAATAGTTGGTCTCTCATATCAGAGAACTTGCATGTATGGTCCATGCCCAAGTGTCAATAGATCTCATTTTGGAATGTCTAAGCCATGCCGAGTGATATCTCTCATCCTAGTCCATCTCTTCTCACCCAAACTTATTATTTCCAAACCGCAGCAAACCCTAGTGAATTATAGCTTGAAACGTCTTGAAATCCCCATCCAACCATCGTACAATACTTACAGTAAATGTAAGACAAACTGCACAATCAGAGCTGAAATTTGCTCAGGGGCCGTTCTTAAGCTCAGGAACCTACCAAAAAGGTTTGGACTTAGTAGTGGACTTCCAAACATGGAAGAAGGGGAGATGAATGTTTTACAAAGACAAAATAAAATTCTGTTTAAGTTTTTCCTTGCATTTGTAGAAGAAAACAACTTCTGAATTGTTGGTCTCTCATCTATGATAACTAGAACGTATGGTCAATGACCAACGCATGATTTTAAGTGTCACGTAACCGGTGTTTGCCATGATTCAACACAATGAATGATTTTAAGTCTCATACAACAGATGCTTGCCGTGATGGAATACAATGAATGATTTAAGCGTCGCACTACTGGTGTTTGCCAAAATGGAATACAATATATGATTTTAAGTGTGGTACTACCGGCGCTTATCATAATGAAACACAATGAATTATTTTAAGTGTCGCACACGTTTTTGACATGATCGTATACAATGTATGATTTTAAGTGTCGTACACCTGTTTTTGCCATAATCGTAAGGAATGTATGATTTTAACAATCGGTTTTTGTCATGACGGAACACAAAAAAGATTTTAAGTGTCACACAACTGGTGTCTGCCGCGATTTAACAAAGCATATGATTTTTAATGTCGAACAACCGACGTATGCCACGATGAATCACGATGAATGATTTTTAAGTTTGTTGTTTGCTTTGATAGTACATAAGTATAAAATTTTAAGTCATACTCAATTCCTTCCAAAATATAATGAAAAAGACCCGACACATCCCTGTGTCCGATGCTTTGTTGACTATAAAAGCTTACGTCATGAATACATACATGTAGGTTAGACCAAATGTCGTGTGCATCCTGTCATTTCTTTGCTTCTGTTGCGTGCATCATCAAGCTGACTTGTATCAATTAGGCAATGTTGAAAGTATTACACATCTTTCATCAAAATCATGTGAATTTTATATTTCTAAAGCAATAGCAGCGTAGGCGTTATCCACTCATGTTGTGTAAACCGTCTTGGAAAGCTTATCACCAAAGTTGAATTTTTCTCTAGTTTTTTTTCGCAAATTGTACGATATACCTTTTTGCATTTGAGTACATACCGAGTAATTTATTGACAAAATTATTTTTGTATTGTTAAATTTAGAAGTTACAATGATAAGACAGGTTTAATAGATCTTAGTTTTACTGATTCATACACATCACAGATTTTATTGTCATGATTAATGTTTTCCACTGGATCCAATCGCAGCATTCAAAGTTATATATATATATATATATATATATATATATATATATATATATATATATATATATATATATATATATATATATATATATATATATATATATATATATATATATATACATTGTTTTGAATTGTGCGGTAAATCGTTATTTTTTAATCATTTTCAGAGAATATTACTCCGTAAAGAATAATATTGGATCTCATCGATTCACGATTGGAAGTATTTGAAATATGTCAGTAAGCCAGCTGTTGAGTTAATGATAACTCTTCAGAATGTTCCCTTCACCAGTTTGTTAGTTCTTCCTGGACACAAGGCAAGCTTCAAAAAGGGAGGGAAAACAAAATTATTTAATATGTGTTCCAACCAATTACATCAATGTTTAGACCGCTCCGGTGGCCTAGTGGTTAGAGCTTCCGACTCGGATACTGGAGGTCGTGGGTTCAAACCCAGCCAGAGTCATACCAAAGACTTACAAAATGGTACTAAGAGGTGTTAGTGTTAGGACTGGTCGGCCTGGTGTCAAGATAATGCGATTGTTTGGGCATCATGCTACGTGTCTGCGGCATGATGCCTCAGTGCTAAACATCACTTTACAATGTCACACCGCAGTCACCATAGTAATATGACTGAAAAATTGATAAAGCTACGTTAAATCTAAATCACACACACACACACACACACACTCACACACACTTACACAACTTATCCCGCCCAAACACACCACGCCCCTACACACGTCAATGTTATAAGTGGTGTTTGCCATGAAGTGATAACAAATTTTCTTTCAAATATATCGATTATTTCTTTCTGGTATAACATCTCTTCAATAATTGAATCAGAATTCATATGCCAAAGAGAAAAGGTAACCCACAACAGAGTTATGCATATTTTAAAATGTACACCACTCGGAAAAGTATGGCACATTATTTGTTCATAAATCATTCAAACGTTCTTTAGCATAGGTTTTTGATGCCTTGAAAAATATTTTTAAAAATTGCTCTTCTTCTTTTTACTACTTGTATTATATTATTCGTACTTCACTTTTCCACGAATATTTAATCGGTGTAGAAGGAAGCAACAAAAGTCTACAAATAAAAACAGTATTTATCATAATAATAATAACTTTTTAAAACAAATATCACACCAACAGATCACTAAACATTGATAAATGCAACACATGTTGACCATGACGGTTAGATAACCATCACACCAGAAGAAATGTGCACGTAGATAAATAACACAGCAGCAGCTGATTGCTCATTAAAGAAAACTACCACAGCATTAGGACCTTGTACATGCATAATTACCACACAATCAGATCTTTGCAACTGGGTAAGTATCACATCACCTGAAAACTGCACATAAATAAATACCACTGTTACGACTATATGCTCTTAAACTAAATAACATAAACGAGTGAATATCACAAATATTTTGTACTATTCAACAAATAATTTATTTCCCTAGAAAACGAAGTAAAAGTATTCAAGGAACTTATAGTATTAAATCTCAAACAGTCCTAAATGTATGAAGTTCCAACTGAGTTCCTGTAGTATTCCAATTTAGTTCTAATATTAAATGTGTTGACGTGCTAATCTGGATTGTGGCGATGTGCTAAAAGGCTTTTAGTGTGCCACAATAATCCAAAATATTCTTGCCTGATTCACTATAGTTCCAAATTTATGTTCCATTACAGAGAATATTATTGATGAGTTCGTTGTTGTTCAGTGAATATTAATTTGAATAAATAAGAAATGATCACAACAATATGGTTGATTTCGCTTTGAGATGTTAAGACAAGATTGATCAATATTTCAAGTAAACAACATCAAATAAAGCCAAGAAACGATAATAGAGCCAATATGTAGGTCAGACTCCTTTATAAAACACTCAAAAGTGTCAACAAGTTTATGAACTCTTAAGAGGAAATCTAATGTCTTTGACACAAACTCAAACAAACATTTTTACATCTATTGATAAAGATTTGAATATTTAATCCACACTACTAGAGAAATATCAGCTATGTATTATTTTGTTGATAAAATAAATATCCCTGACAAAGTTAACTTGATGTCGGCTAAAGTCTAGTCCTAAACGCAGATGTATATAATATGTAATCACTAAGAAAAACCAGCAAATAATGTAAATTAAATAGACACAACACCAGGCCAACATATACGACAACATTAGAACATTGCATGTGAATAAAAATCACACTAATGCATCATTGCACTTGGGAGAACCACACCAGTTGAACAACGCACATGATGCAATACCTTGAAGATCAATACACATTGGTAAGTAGCACAACATCAAAAATCATTACACATGTATTTTTAAAACAAAACAATAAAAAACATGGCATATAATCATGCTCATGGAAAATACCACGCCAGTAGATCATTGCACATGGAAAAATTTCATGTCAGTAGATTATTGCACATGGAAAAATACAACGCTAGTAGATCATTGCATATGGAAAAATACAACGCTAGTAGATCTTTGCAATTGGAACAATACAATACCAGTAGATTATTGCACATGGAAAAACACAACGCCAGTAGATCATTGCACATGAACAAACACAACGCCAGTAGATCATTGCACATGGAAAAATGCCAAATTAGTACATCATTGAGCATGAATAAATACCACGTCAGCAGATCAGTACACGTCGAAAATAGCACAACGCTATTGTACATGGTAAACGTCCATTCCAGGACCAGCAAATCGTTGTATGTGGACAAATAAACAATACGACCATCTTACTGCACATGAATAAATACTACACATGCATGTCACTGCACACAAATAAATGCCACACATACACTTTTACTGCATATGGATAATATTACGCAAGCATATTACTGCACATGGATCAATACTATACATGCATGATGATGTACATGAATTAATAATACACATGCATGTCGATGCACATGGATTAATACTACACATGCATGTCGATGCACATGGATCATTACTATATATGCATGTCGATGCACATGGATCAATACTATACATGCATGTCGATGCACATGGATCAATACTACACATGCATGTCGATGCACATGGATAAATACTACACATGCATGCCACTGCACATGGATAAATAATACACATGCACGTCACTGCACATGGACAAATAATACACATGCATGTCACTGCACATGGATCAATATTACACATGCATGTCACTGCACATGGATAAATAATACACATGCATGTCGATGCACATGGAACAATATTACACATGCATGTTACTGCACATGGATAAATAATACACATGCATGTCACTGCACATGGATAAATAATACACATGCATGTCACTGCACATGGATCAATATTACACATGCATGTCACTGCACATGGATAAATAATACACATGCATGTCACTGTACATGAATAAATACTACACAAGCATATTATTGCACTTTGGAAAACAATTACACATATATATTATTGCATGTAAATCAATACTACACGTTCATATCATTGCACATGTAGATCATTGCAAATGGTTAAATGGATACCTATCACAATAGATTATCATGATACAGTGATAAATACCATACCTGCACATACCTGCGTGTCATTACAAACGGAAAACTACATCAGTATGACATTTTGCATGGATAAAAGGCCACACCAACAGATTATTAGGCATTGAAAACTATCACACAAGCATGTCATTTTACATGGATAAAGACCAACCGTAGCTCGTTTGTACATAGAAATATCAATTCAGGTGGAATATCCCTAATATACCTATAGCAATCATGCTGCAATTTTGACCTATGCTTACTTCTAGTAACTAGATGGTCAAAATAATATCTTAACGAATGAATTAAATCCATAATTCAATTTTCTTACTTTATTTATGAATAAAAGCGTCAGAATTTGTACTGAAAAAATTACCCAAATGTATTTCTTATGGCAGTAATGTGCTTAACGACATTCTAAAAGCACATTTACCAACATACATCTGCCTTAAACACCATTCAAAAAACATCTCTCTTATACATTTTGTACAATCCGTAGGGAAAGCTATATTTTCTGCAAACCTTAATAAGCCCGTGCTAGATTATAAGTGAATTCAATTGCAGATAGGTATGTGAAGTGAAAATATTCTTTAATGTGTAATGGGTACATAGCAAAGTATACAAGTTCTATATCATTAAGTTTCCGCCTAACTTATTAAGTCAATCTAGTGTCGACATGGGCAGATATTATCACGAAGGATATGTCAAAGAAAAGTTATTAGGTTTGGAGGTAAGGATATGGAATGGGAAGAATAATTGTAATGTACTTAACGGGGTTGGAAAGCAAAGTTTAATGACAATTGTATCCAAAATTAAATTGGTTCTAAAGCTCACAAAAACAAAAATATAGTACGTATTAAGCTGTCTTAGTCGGCTACACAAAAGTCTGATTGGTAATGTGGAGAAAGAAGAACAAAAGTTTGTTTCCAGGCCCTGTTCACTTTTTTGCTATTATAAAAGGTAGATATTTCGTGCCAGTCTTAAGCATTGACAAGTCTACTTCAAATTCTGCAGTATGATTATGCGTGGAAAGTCAAAAAGGGAGACCAGAATAATTTCAGGAATCTAAGACGGTCTTATGAATTAAATATATGTCTTTGATTATTCTATGCCAAAATTATCAATTATCCTCAGTTGCTGGCAATAATTTATACATAGAGAATCTCAAATAGGTAATTATTTAATATTCAATTTCTGAAACGAGTTAATAATATCCAGCTTTTGTGATCCTTAGCGAGCAAAAGCGGACATTATTCAACGAGTTTCATAAATTTATTATTAAATAAGTGCTCATTTGAGATTCTTTACATCACATAGGTTTTTTTTTCAGTGGAATTTTATATAGAAAGAAGAACGAATAATTTCATTCATTCTGACAGACGGTGCACCTTTCATTTATTGTGCATAAAATATCGTCCCAAACGAAGTTGAACTAGTAAAAGTAGATTGTACTTTTTACAAACTATAAATCAAAGAATAAGCTTCCATTAGAATAAACAAAATTTTTTATAACGACAAAATCATTTTACAAAACAGAATGGTCAATGCGACGTGATGCCACATTGTTTGATACGATACACAGTATGCCTAGAGTACATGTTTACTCTAACATGTCATTTTCAGATCTAAATATTACAATGTTGTTTATTTTCATGTGAAATATGATTACTGGATGCAAAAAATTCCCACATTTACTTCAATGCATTTGTGACCGGATATTTGCAGTATTTGATTTGAAGCAATAGACTATACAGAAAACATAAACAAATTTCATTTTGTCAGATTTGCATCCCATATATACTGCGTAAAGATTCCGTCCGTTAGAAGACCCATTTTATCCAGATTCTGATGTGAACATAGGTGAGTTTATTTACTTATGTAAGTTAACATTGAACTACGCTTGTATATACGGTGAAT